CTTACCACGAGAGGGAGAGTGATTATGGACAAAACAGACATAACCAAATATTTTGGGAGGAATAGAAAACAAGGACTGAGAACCGAGGAGGACGTGAAGCGGAGCCTGTTTGTCCAAGACCTGGGTAGGGAGACACATGTTTTGTCCTGTCATGTTGAACTGGATTGTGAGCAATGTTGATGGCGGCTTTATTATCACAGTATAACCGCATGGAGTCCGTCTGAGCAATACCTAGATCACTCAACAATAATTTGATCCATAAAAGTTCACACACACCTTGTGCCATAGCTCTAAACTCAGCTTCTGCACTTGACCTGGCAATCACATTCTGTTTCTTACTCCTCCAAGTAACTAGGTTGCCGCCAACAAATGTGCAATACCCTGAAGTTGATCTCCTATCAGTCACTGACCCAGCCCAGTCAGCATCTGTATAGGCTTCTACACGAAGATGATCATACTTTGAAAAATACAGACCCTTACCAGGAGCAGACTTCAAATACCTCAAGATTCTCATGACAGCCTCAAAGTGAATCTGATGAGGAGCATGCATAAACTGACTAACTACACTGACAGCAACAGCAATATCAGGACGGGAGTGAGATAGGTAAATGAGCTTACCCACTAATCGTTGATAGCTCCCCCTATCCACAACTTCTCCTCCTTCATCATCCCCCAATTTCTGATTGGGTTCCAGTGGGGTGGCACATGCCTTGCAGCCAAGCATCCCAGTTTCCTTCAACAGGTCAAGCACATATTTTCTTTGTGAGATAAATATTCCATCCTTAGAGCGAGCAACTTCAATTCCCAGAAAATACTTCAAGCTTCCCAAGTCTTTGATTTCAAATTCTTGAGCTAAATATTTCTTCAACAGAGGTATTTCCCCACTATCATTGCCTGTAAGAACTATGTCATCTACATAAACAATAAGTGTTGTAGTCTTTCCGCGTGAGGAATGTTTCACAAACAATGTGTGATCTGCCTGACTTTGTTTGAAGTCATATTTAACCATAGCCTGAGTGAATCTCTCAAACCAAGCCCTTGGAGACTGTTTGAGACCATATAATGACTTCCGAAGTTTGCATACTTTGCCTTCTGTTTGATGATCCTCAAAACCCGGAGGAATGTCCATATATACTTCTTCTTCGAGGTCACCATGGAGAAAAGCATTCTTGACATCAAACTGATAAAGCGGCCAATCTAGATTAGCTGCTAGAGAGAGAAGTACTCTGACTAAATTCATTTTAGCCACAGGTGCGAAGGTCTCCTGATAATCAATGCCATATGTCTGAGTAAACCTTTTTGTCACAAGTCTTGCCTTGTAACGCTCAATAGACCCATCTGCTTTGTGTTTCACAGTATATACCCATTTACAGCCCACAGGTCGTATGCCCGTAGGTAACTCAGTCAAATCCCAAGTGCCATTCTTCCTAAGTGCTTTCATTTCCTCAATCATGGCTAGTTTCCACTCAGAGATAGCAAGAGCATCCTGAAAATGGTTAGGAATGCTAACAGAGGAAATATTGGACACAAACGCTCTATATGAGGATAACAAATGAGAGTATGATACAAACTGGGAGATAGGATGTTGAGTACAAGATCTCACACCCTTCATTTTGGCAATAGGAACATCAAGATCAATGGACTCACGGTCTTGCTCAACCAAATCATAGATGTTATGCAAATCATGTACTTGCTCTCATTTTTCTTAACTTACCAGGCAAATCTTTACTAACCCATCTAAGATTTCAGATACCACTCAACAGTTAGAAGCAATGGTTGGAGATATTGAAGATGCAGTTTTCTCTGTTGTGAATCAAAAAAGGGGAAATATACTCGCTTCAAATTGATCAACTCCGTCAGTTTCAACAGTAATGACATTATTCGGTATTATTTTTTCTTTATTAAGAATACATATTGCATAGTTAGATCAAAGATGGGACTGCACAGAAAATTTTAGTGTAGTCATTGAATGCAGGACCCAGGATCGAGGCAAGAAAAGTTCTTTCAAGCTGTAAGATCCATGAATTGAATTGAGGATTTGTTGGTCAGTCCTGTGAAGTTCCGACCTCAGTGGTGCCATCTTATGAAATCTGTGGATTCTAGAGTAGACAAAACATTGACTTTGCTCCGGCGACAAGTTATTGCAGATCACCGAGCTCTTCTTTCAACTCTAGGGTGGCCACCAAAAGTTTTTACATCAAAAATAGAAAGTGGGAAGATCTCTATCCTTCCAAATCCATTAGTTTTGATGCAAGTAGACAAACAGAAGGCCTATTCTGAGAGTTTTCTAGAACTTTGTGCTTTGCAGCATTTGCAGACACGGAGGGAAGAGCGACAGCTTGGCCTTTGGGAAAAAAGAAGCTGAATACAGGGCTTTGGGCCATTGATGAACTGGTTTCTCCTATTGCGTCACGGTCAGAATATCACTTCTCGAAATTCTTACTTTTCCAAACTAGCGATGACCTTTTACAGACAGAACACGAGAGGGACCCCAAACATCAGAATATATTAATGAAAGAGGAACGAAACTTTTATTCAAACTGGGAGTAAAAGAAGCTCTATGTTGTTTTCCAAGTTGACAAGACTCATAAAGAAAGTCAGACACATGATGATTTGCGAAATTAGAAGGAAATAAATGCTTAAGTAAATGAAATGAGGGATGCCCAAGACGCCGATGCCACAGCCATAAATCAGCGGGGGTAGTAGAAGACGTGGTGGAAGAATAAGCAAGTTTGTCTGGTTGATCTAGGAAGTAGAGACCATTTTCTGCACTACCACTGCCAATCGTCCTCCCCGTGACAAGGTCCTGAAAAAGACAATGATCAGGAAAAAACGTCACACTACAATTCAAATCCTGGGTAAGACGACTTAAAGATAACAGGTTAACAGAAAACTTGGGAACATGGAGAACAGAAGAGAGATGTATGGTAGGAGTGACTTGGACTAAACCTTTTCCAGAAATGGAAGAAACAGTACCATCGGCAATTCTAACTTTGTCCTGACCTGAAGAGGGCTTATAGACAGAGAAAAGATCAAAAGAGCCAGACATATGATCGGAGGCACCAAAATCAATAATCCAAGGCAAAGATGTATGACACAGGAAAGCACAAGGAGAAGATGCTAAGTTACCTGAGCGGGCAAAGGACGAGGAAGCGGTACTGAAAGCAGTAGAAGATCGGCGGTCCAACAATTGGCGCAAAGCATCCTCCAGCTCAGTATCAGAAGCTTGGGTAACAGAAGTAGAATTAGAATCAAGGGTATCCACGGCACTAGACTGATGAGCCCGAGAATAGGAACCACGTCCTCTAGATGGGCCTGACCGACCTCCTCGAGAACCAGACCGATCGCCTCGCCCCCCGGATGGAGTCCCATGAAGCTTCCAACACGTCTCACGAGTATGCCGCGGCTTCTTGCAATAATCACAGAAAACAGACTCCTTAGCAACAGACGGAGGAGGCAGGCTGAGGCCATCTCGAGGAGTAGATAGTAATGCGGAACGGTCAGTAGAGACAGGGGACATCATAGCAGATCGGCGGCTCTCCTCATTTTGTACATAGGCAAATGCCTCCTGAAGTGAAGGAAGAGTGTCCATACTCAGAACTCGACCCCTAACTGGATCATACTCCACATTTAGGCCGGCCAAAAATTTAAAGACCCATTCCCGTGCGATGAACTTCTTGTACCCGACAAAATCGGTAGGGCAAACGGGTTTATAGTCTTCCAGATGGTCAAGGCGTTTCCAGCCGTTGGTGAGGAAAGTGAAGTACTGAAGAACAGTCTGCTCCCCCTGAAGTGAGCTCTCAATAGAGCGGCGCAACTCAAATGTCTGTGAAAAATTCCCTTTGCGGGAATAGGTAACAGCCACAGCCTCCCAAACGTCCTGGGCAGTCTCCATAGACAAGTAGCTCTCACCAAGTTCTGGAACCATCGAATGGATAAGCCAACTCATAATCAAAGAGTTGGTAATCTCCCATTGGTCATAACCTGAGTCAGTGGTACTAGGTGCCTGTATCCTGCCATCAACATACCCCATCTTCCCTCTGCTCTTCAAGAACATAGTCAAACTTTGAGACCATGCGAGGTAGTTCTGACCATTAAATAGAGATGCAGTGATTTTCAGACTAGGGTTGGGGTTCTCAGTCATGATAGTAGGTAGAATAGGACTCTCACTCTTTGGTGTTTGAGAAGAAGAGGACACACTGGTGGAATCTGTCATGGATACAATACTACCGAACCCGCAACAAAACTAGTGGCAATCACAAACCCAGAAGGTAGATAACAGGCACAATGATCACTATAAAGACATTAAGAAACCATTTTGTTTTTTTTTTTTTTTTTTTTTTTTTTGTTTGTTTTGTTTGTTTTGTTTTTTTTTTGTTTTTTTTGTTTTTTTGTTTTTTTTTTTATTATATATATATTGATTTATTTATGTATACATGTATTTATATATAAATATATATATTAGGCTATAGTTATATATATATATATATATCAGGATATTATATGGAGGTATTTATGTATACATGTATTTATAGAGAAATTTAGATATTAGGCTAGATTTATAGATATATCCGGATAGATATAGTGATATATACCTGGGTAGGAGATCAGAGGACGACGAGGGGGGTTGGAGACGAGCGACAAAGGGGATGAGTGGGCTGATCGGGGAGGAGTGACGAAGACGGCAGAGGACGACGAGGGCGATGAGCGACGAACCGCTGGAGGAGCTGAGATCGACGAGCTGACGAAGCTGAGACGGAGACGAAGACGAAGCAGAATGACGACTGTGGCTGAAGATCGACCCAGCAGATGATCCAACTAGGTATGTTTTGAATCCTAACCCTAGAGGTGAAGCTCTGATACCATGAAGCTTGGGTAACCAGCTTAGGGAATGATAGAATATCACCCCCTATTTATAAAAGAAGATTAGGGTTTACAAGAAATGCAATTTACAAGATGATCCCTGAGTGCTATCCCTGAGTGCATAAAATGATTACAGTGATTACAGACAGACCCTAGTGTGCCTTTCGGCGAATATAATATGCTAACACTTAATATAATATGCTAACAGTTTGAATTACACTGTCTATTGTGATGCGTCCGAGGATGGACTTGGTTGTGTCTTGATGCAAGAGGGAAAAGTTGTGGCTTACGGTTCACGACAATTGAAAACTCATGAGAAAAATTACCCCACCCATGATCTAGAATTAGCAACGGTGATTTTTGCTTTGAAAATTTGGAGGCATTACTTGTACGGTGAGAAGTTTGAAGTCTTCTCCAATCATAAGAGTCTAAAGTATTTGTTTTCTCAAAAAGACTTGAATTTACGACAATGGAGGTGGATGGAATTTATGGAGAATTATGACTTTAAGTTACACTATCATCCAGGGAAGGCTAATGTGGTGGCCAATGCTTTGAGTCGAAAATCTGTGAGTAGTTTGGCAAGTGTGGCCATTCGGGAATTGGATATGCTAGATATTATTGGCAAGTTTGATTTGCACTTGGGTGAGTCTAGAGAGTTCTACATTGTTTACCTTGAGTGCTCAACCTACCTTGATTAGTAAAGTCATAGAGGCATAACAAGGAGACTGTGGAATGATGTCAATCCGTGTTAAAGTTTCCAATGGGAAGGAGAAAAAAGGTTTGAACGTCCACTCGGATTTGAGTGTACGTTACCTCGACCGTTTGTTTGTACCATAATCTTATAGAGATGAAGCACTACGGGAGTTCCATCACTCACACCTTGCAGTACATCCGAGAGGCACTAAAATGCATTATGATCTTAGTCGTCAGTTTTGGTGGACGGGTATGAAGCGGGATGTCTCTTTATTTGTATCGAAGTGCCTTACTTGTCAACTAGTGAAGGCCGAACACCAAAGACCAGCGGGTTTGTTACAACCCTTACCGATAGCCGAGTGGAAATGGGAGCGTGTTACCCAATGGCTTAAATAGAGGAAGTCAGTGTAATTATTAATACCATAGGGTAGCAAGTGTATTGAAGCCAAACCTTTGGGGTGGACAGCATAATTTATCTCTAACCACTGGAGTCAGGCAGTGGCGAGAACCAGTTTACATCATTAGGTTTAGGAGGTTGTGGTTTTATTCTCCACTTTCTCAAATGTACCTGGAAAAAAAAAGAAAAAGAAAAAAAAGACAAGTAATTGATCCTCTTTTTTATGTACGCTGAATTTACCATGCACACGAGGCCATTAATTGGGGCAATTGCAAAAGGTTGGCAGACCAGTTTGAGAAGATCTGTTCAGCTGTGAAGGCTGCATCTCTGTGTGAATGATGGCAGACATTAAAGTTTTACCTAGTTTAGTCCTTCCAAGTTCTCAATTGTCAAGATGCATACTTGCCTGACATAAATCACTAATGACTTTTGATATTCCTTTATCATTTTGCATAGTACTTTTAACTGAAACCAGCTTGCATTGGAGATAATAAAGTTTCTCTTGCTTTCATGTTTTTTAATGGCCTTTTTATTGGAACTGAAATGGAATTATATATTTATTTCAGCTTGTGGGAAAAAGCAGTCCTCATTAGTTACAAATTATTTTCAGTTCCCATATATTGCTAATCAGTCTATTTTACTTACTGTGTACTAGTTAGTATTATTTTTCACTTTGATAATTTTGATTATAATTTATTGTCACACCAATAAAACTATTTAACAGTTACTACTTGACCAAAAATTATGATCCTGCAATCTTCTTATGGACCCTTGAAACAAATAAGAGGAAGAATGCTACGCGTAATCATGTCTTTAGTTCTTTTATTTCTTTCCGTGAGATCCAAGTTATATATTTTATTTTAGCTGACTGTGCTACCCATCCAAATCGATACTTTACAACATGATAATATGTTAGGCATGTGTTCCTTCTTTGATGACACTGCTATGCTCATTCTTGCATTGTTTGGCTTCAATACCATGGGAAGATTCATGTTTTTTTTATTTTATTTTAATTTTTTTATATCTATTATCATCCTTAATTGATTTTTCAATTCTGGATAACAGGTGAAAGTCATTTTCTTCTCAGAAACAGGGAGCGTGCAGCTCCATTCATGCGTCAAGCTGCCCTAAATTATTGGCCATATGCTGCTTTCGCATTTGTGCCATGACGAGAAGAGGAATCTTCCTTTGGTGGAATGTGTACATGTATTTTCTTTCTTTTCTTTTTTGGGAGAACATATAGGAATGCTTTTTTTTCCCCCCCTTCCTTTTTTTTTTAAAAAAAAAAAAGAAAAGGAAAGATTAATATCTTAAATGTTCTTACAAGCTTCCTTCGGAATAATTTCCTAGTTTTGTGAATAATCTTGTCTTTTTTTTTTTTTTTGATTGGCACCGGGTTGTCCGGATCAAAGCCCGACTAATCCCCAAATTATCTTGTCATTTAACCAGCAATAAATCTTAGAATAGTATCAGAACTATTTTAAATTATTCCTTGCTTCATTGAACAGAAGCAGCTATCATTATTCTTTCTTCTATTGACTTGAAGGATTGATGATAAATGGGGAATTCTTTTTGCAGCAAAACCAGATTTTTTTGCAGTCACAACTATCTACTTCATGTTAACTTCTACTTTGATTTGGAAAGCTGTTATATCTTGGATAAGTTTACTTATCAAATTTCTTTATTTATTGCAGTAGTAGGGGGTAGAAAACGTCTGTCGTCATGTTACCCATGACAATAACAAAGTGTTATGTGTGAACAAACAAAATCCTACTTATGTTATGATGGAAGAAGAATGACGAGCTCAAATGTGATAGTGAAAAAGTTTTTCTTGCCTCACATGGAAAGACTTCCACGAACTTTTTCTTTCAACGACATCTTTCTAAATTTCACTATGCAGTTGTATCCTTAAAGGGGATAACAATTTTCATTTCAGTGTTATATGAAATATTAGGCATTTGAATGCTCAGGATGTTTCCCTGTAGCACTACCCAGCCCTTGTATGTATTTTGAGCCAAGTCCCATCATAAGATCTGGGGTTCTGGAAGAGGCTTGACAGTTAGGTCCAATATATCTACTAGAGTCCATGCTACACAGCTTTAAAGCTGTCAAGGTCTGATTATTCATATTTCAAATCCTTTGAAAAATCTTATGCAAACTTTTAAAATTTTCATTTCATTCTTCTGTTTTGTAATCTCAATTAGGATCACAAATGTTCTGTATCATTTCATGCTTTTGTTGTCATCTCCTTAAATTTCTGTGTGAAGATTATGAAATCAACCTCCAAGCATATTTGTTTCTTCTATTTTTCTTTTGACTATTAAATTACAGAGTAAGTTTTTAGATGAAAATCAAGTGAGGTAATTCTTTTCATTAGTGTTGTTGAATACATGTCATGTATTGTTATGTCACTTTTGTGCATTGTGTATCATGTCTTATGTCTCATGTCATATCATGTATAATAAAATACATTAACATATATGACTACAGATTGTGGGTAAGAGAAATTAGAGGCAATCGGCCATTGACCTCTGGGAAGATGGCGGGCACTTAAATGGGCCAAGATCATCGGAGGTGGAAGAGGAGAAGACCAAGGTAGGCTTAGAGAGGAAAGGGGTGGCAGTGAGAGACCTTGAACACTTTGTATATGTTGTATGATTCTTGTTGTTCTTGTTATGATTGTGGTTGCACTTATGATGCCATTATATAAACTAGGAGAATTGGAGCCCATGCAATCTCAAGACAGGTGGCAAGTTCTCAACTCGACAGGAGGGTGATATCAGCCCTACTAGCTGTGTATTATGATTCAGGTCATTGGGTGTAAGGTTAACGTCCCTTTTCTCGAAGCTAGGTCAAGGTGGAATTGTCATTGCAGGAAGACAGTTACACGACCTTGATGATCTCAAGGTCTTAGCCTCCAATTCACAATCCTCCAATGATCCCAAGTGGGAGTGCTTAGGTCCTGCTCCCAACCTAGGCAGCAAAGGGGGTGAGTGCATGGGTGAGCCAATGGCTCATCCTGAACACCTAAGCAAGCATAGGTGAGTCAAGGGTCCACTATGTTGTTATGGAGTTGGGGTGAGTGTATAGAGAACATATTTCTTATGAGTCATGAAGGGCCATGGAGAGCTCTAGGTGAGTTGTGGTCTTGTTTTCATACTTGGTAGTGTGCATGCCCGCGCTTAGGCTAGGCATACAACCCAAACTCACCGTGATGCCTCAGGGGTCTGGCACGTGAATGTGTGATGGTGATGACGTGACGCTCGTAGGGATCGCTACGTGCCAAGCATGATATAGATACCCACACAGATAAATAAATAAAAAGTACTTTCATATGATACATAAATATATTGAAAAAATGAAGTACTAAAGCATATAACCAATGACATGAAAAATAATCTCTAAAAGCTTACAAATTCGACAAAAAGGTAAATATGCATTCATTAGAAACCCAAATATCCAACTAATAATAAATTGGAAAGAAAATTCAAAATTTAATATAACAAAAGGATCAATGAGATTTCATTGCAAATATAGAAATAATACAAGATTTTTGTTTTTCAATTGAGCCCAACTTCTTGGTCGCTAGTTCGTTTGGTTCCCAGTTTGCAGCCAAAGACTTTCTTTAGGACTTGGATGATGAGTATAGCTTAAACATACTTGTTATGAGGTATATGGTCATAGTCCAAACAAGCCTTTTGGCCCAAATCTTGTGTCTCAACCCAATTCCAAATGGTCTGTGTGTGTAAGCTCTTTGTTTCTTTCACCTGAATTAGATTCATGATAGTTGTCCAATTTTTTTTGTAACAAAGGGAGTATGAGAGTCATTTTGCTTTAGGGTTTATTTGGATTTGGGTCTCCTTGGTATGGGGTTTTTTGATAATATGGTTTTGGATTGTTCAACGAGTGCGGGCAATGGCAATTGACATTTCGAAATGCTGTTAATAGGTCTAAAGGTGAAAGAGAAGGTATTGATAGCTAATCAAGAAATACATGTTAAATTGTGATACAATAAGAAATTGTTACAATGCAAAACGTATCTCACGATTCAATCTACCAACATATGAATCCGCAATACATATATTTTTCATAACGGTTCTGACAACACTACATTTCATATTTAATCGTCATGTCTTTTCTAAAATTTTCTTTTTCTTTTTCTACTTGTTTGTTCCTTTTTTCTGGAAGGCATCTATTTTTTTTGTTCCTTATTAAATAGTTTAGAGAAGAATCAACTGTTCTTTTTTTGTCTTTTTCATCAATTATGGATCAGGCTAATGGGCTTATGGGTTAGAAAGATTGGTTACTCTAACCAGCATACTGGATTGTACTTTTTTTTTGGGAGACTAATTTTGGTTCCCTTTCCCCTTCCAATCTTTGGAAACTTGATTGTGAAACGCCACCTTCAAAAATGTGGTGCTTCATAATTTTTTTCCAAAATAGAGTATGATCTTGATGGTGTTCTTATTATCAACAACAGGTTTGGAGTGGAATCTGCACCTGCAATTGTATTTTTAAAAGAACATGGTGTTAAACCTGTTGTGTACCATGGTATGTCACTCTCTCTTTATTTCGTTTCATATTATTTCTTGGTACTCTTTGTAACATAAATAATGTGTACATAGCAAGTTAACATAAATAATGTGTACATAACAAGCTAAGCAGTGCACATTTTCTGCAGGACCTGCCAACAATTCATGGTTTGTAGATATAATGGAACAGAATAAACATCAAGGTAATGCTGTTTGTTTGTACTTTATCAAGTTTTATAATCTAGGGCCTTGACACTAACAAAATTTTCCCTGTCATATTACTTGAGTGAGTGCAACCATTGTGTAAATGGCTTGTTACAGTGAGTCTAATGTGCAAGTAAACCTCATGTGATTGACAAGTGCAAACTGTTAGCTTCATGATTATTTGGAGGTTCTTGCTGTCATCAGCCTTTTTATCCACTGACTAGAGTCCTTTATGTAGTTATTTTCTTCAGCAAAAGGGGAAAAAATCTAGATTATATTTTGATATTTTTTCCTGGGTACTGTACCAATCATTTCTCTGTTCTTGAAACATTGCATCAGCTAATCTGACTATGAAGTGTTTCCTCGGTACGTGTTTTCCTATGTAGAAATCTTCCTTGATAATTTCCTTCACATGAATTGAATTGTACAGAACTTGTCAGGTTATGATTTTGTTTTCATTTGATAGGATGTTGTGTTGCAACCTTTTTTCCGTATTGTGTAAATTTATGGTAGAATATTTTGTCAAATGTGGCCCTCCTTATAAAGTAATCCTTTTTCTTTAGATTTTACGAGAGTACAAGCCTGCAGAGTATCCACCATTTTTTCCACATAGTAGAATAAATGACTCAACAATGCGTCCATTCTGCAAAGTTGCTTGTGAGGGATCGTCTTATGTCTGCATTTGAGAGTTACTGGGAAACAGACTAGGTTGTGTTTATTGGTTCGAATGGGCTGTGCTATTATACAAATATTATGTAAGAAATAATGTATAGAGAAAGAGAGAGAATAAATTGTATGTATTATTATTGATTGATATATTGATTTCTATTACAATGATTCATGATTCCTATATATAGAAGAGGGTGAGTGTGTAGTAGGTAAGGAGTAGGTGAAGTGGAGGTGGTAGTGGTGTAGTGGGTTAGGCTTAGTGGAGTAGGTTTAAGTGGGTGAAGTAGGTGATAGGTTTAGTGGAGTAGGTGAGGTGGTAGTGATGTAGTGGGTTAGGTTTAGTGGAGTAGGTGAGGTGGTAGTGATGTAGTGGGTTAGGTTTAGTGGAGTAGGTGAGGTGGTAGTGATGTAGTGGGTTAGGTTTAGTGGAGTAGGTGAGGTGGTAGTGGTGTAGTGGATTAGGTTTAGTGGAGTAGGTGAGGTGATAGTGGTGTAGTGGGTTAGGTTTAGTGGAGTAGGTTTAAGTGGGTGAAGTAGGTGGAGAGTAGGTGGATTTTAACAGCCCCCCGCAAACTCAAGGGGGATAGGAACTAACCAACTTGAGTTTGGAGAGAGTAACAAAATAAGAAAATACATAAAAATAAAAGAGGATAAGAGACACTGTATGGTCGTGTCAGACCATTGGTGAAGACACTGGATGGTGGTGTCATAACGTTATAGAGGACACTGTATGGGGTGGTGTCATAACGGTGTAGAGGACACTGGATGGCGGTGTCAGACCGATGTAGAAGACAGTTTATGGGGTCATGTCGGACCATTGTAGAAGACAATGTTGTGACATTGTTGTGACAGTTTACGGAGTCTTGCTAGACCCTTGTAGAAACTAACCGGAATCAATGTCGGGACAGTTTACAAAGTCTTGTCGGACCCATGAAGGAGCTAACCGGAATCAATGTCGGGACAGTTTACAAATTCTTGTCGGACCCATGAAGGACTAACCGGAATCATAGTCGGGACAGTTTACAGAGTCTTGTCGGACCCTTGTAGAAACTAACCGGAATCAATGTCGGGACAGTTTACAGAGTCTTGTCGGACCCTTGAAAAAGCTAACCGGTATCAAATGTCGGGACAGTTTATAGAGTCTTGTCGGACCCCTGTAGAAACTAACCGGAATCTATGTCGGGACAGTTTACAGAGTCTTGTCGAGCCTTGTAGAAACTAACCGGATATCTATGTCGGACAGTTTACAGAGTCTTGTCGACCCATAAAGGAGCTAACGAAATTAATGTCGGGACAGTATTATAGGGTCATGTCGGACCGTTGTAGAAGTTGCACCCTCAAAAGGTGTGCCCAATTTTGTCAAAAGGCGTGCCATCAAAAGGCGTGCCCATTCATCAAAAGGTGTGCCGGACCATGATGGCGAGGCACGTGGGCGCCTTGGCTTGCGCGCCCGTTTTGTCGTCTGGTGGCAGAGGCACGCGATACGCGTGGCTGCCTCGCTATTTAACAAAGGTTGATGCTGAGGCTGAGGCAGACAAAAAACTTCTGAAAATCCTCTGAAAACAACTCTCCTTTGCTGAGAAAGAAACTCTGTAATACTCTGTAACCAACCCGTCTCTGAAACACTCAGCAACATGGCCTCTTCTTCCGTCCAGCTACCCCAGAACATGGCCTCCTCTTCCGCGTGGTCTGCTCACGCTCTTCCCAGACATGAACGAGTCCACAAGAGAAATAACTGGTGCGGTGGCCAGTGAACCTCAACCAAACACTCCTGGTTTTGCTCCGTTGAACTTTCGATGCGGTCGGTGGAGCAAAAAATGGGGCGGTGGCAGTGCGGATGTGGAGGCGCAATCAGTATACGCTCTTGAAGGTGCCATGTGTGGAAACCATGACTGCGGTTACAAATTTGTCAGGACCGGCTGCAGAGTAGGAGCAAAATGAGGTGCAAGCACGTTAAATCGGCCGCGCAAACTGGGCTGCTGTTTCGCAATCGGCATGTATTAGCGACGGATGGCGCGAGCAGAGATAGTGTCTAAAGGCGGAAAACAAGGAGCTGAAGGGAAGGCCAGTTTTATGTTGCCGATTTGGAGGGCCGCCATACTGCGTGGCAGTGGAGGAGCAGGGAAGTGAGTGATCATGCCGACAGTGGAGTGGGATAACAACGAAAGGCATACACCGGCTTAAGGGCGACCAAGACGGGTGGCAAGAAGAAAAAGACCGGACGGAATAGGCGAGAGAAAAATGCCCAACTGTTCGATTTGTGTGTTGTGTTTTGGTTTGTTTTTGTGTTTTTTTATTTTTATTTTTTTTTTTAATTTATGGTGTATTTGG